ATGGTTATTTAGAGGTTGCCGTCATTTTTTTAAATGGAACTTCCTATTATTTATTATACTATTTTATTCTACTAATTAGTATAAACAACTTTTGTCTGAAACATTTTTTGATTTGCCTAATACTTTTTGAGACATTCAAGACAAAATTTATAACTTTTTACATGTTTAGCTTATAATATCTCGATAACTGTTTGTCGGAGGGAAAAGTAGTACAGGACTTTTTTACTTGATTTAGTCTCAGGAATATGCTGTTGCAATGGTGTTTCAATTATTGAAAATTTTTGTGTATGTAAATTTTATGTGTTACAATACATAAACCATTGCAATAGCATATTCCTCAGACTAAATCAAGTAAAAAAGTCTTGTACTACTTTTCCCTCCGACAAACAGTTATTGATATTATAAGCAAAACATGTAAAAAGTTATAACTTTTCTCTTGAATATCTCAAAAAGTACTAGGCAAATAAAAAAAGTTTCAGACAAAAGTTGTTCATATTATTTAGTAGAATAAGATAGTATAATAAACAATAGGGAGTTCCATTTAAAAAAATGACAGCGACCTCCATATAACCATAAACAATTTATTGTTTCGAAAATTTATTTTTTCATTATATAGCCCTTTTAAAACCGTATAACTTTTGCCTGAAACATTTTTTTCTAAAATGTTCTATTTCCGAAATAAAGGGGCTGTACGGGTGGTCTGACTCACCCTGTATATGGTTGCTATTACTAATATTATAGTAATAACTAGTATAAAAATTATATTCCTGATTATAATTATTTTACTATGCAATTATAGTTTCAAATACTACATATTTTTCTATCAGTGTAATTAGACAATTTGTCGAGCCACTTAAAATTCCGATTAAATGATGGCCACAGTGCATGCTGTTGCGTCTCTTGATTTTCCTGCTACACTATTTCAAGCATGATACGAAGAGGTTTAAATTCTCATGTCGATTGTGAAACACGATCGATTCATGGCATCATTCAAATGATTCCAGAGTGAGTTAAACTATTGAATAAATTCTAATGGGCATTATTCGCTCGACAATATCGGCATTTGGTCAGGCGGATGAGCGGAACGCGCGAGGCAAAGGGGGATATAAATCAGAAACACCCTGTCGCGCGATTCGGTAACGCTGGCTCCACGTGCGATTAATTAATACGAAGCGTCGGTCGAAATTTACGTCCGAAATGGATTCGCCGTGCGGGCGAACCTCGACGTCGAAACTGAAATTACCTTCGGACAAAAGAAAATTGCAGCGAAACTTCCCGCGAAAATTTTTAAACGTTACGTATCTTGCGAAAAGAAATTTTTTTCCTGCGGCAGTTTTTCTAAAAAACTATCAAAAAAATAAATTCAACGCTTGCAAAGTAAGCTTACCTTTTCTAAAATTGTAATAAAGAAAATAGAAAAGGTTGAAAATTAAATACGGTGATCGAACAACTGTCTTCAAATTACAAAGGTGAAAGAAGAAGACCTATTGCAATGTTCACGTATTATCATACGTGTGTTTCTCAAGTATTGGAACGCTCTTTGTCCAAGAGATGGCGCCACAATAACCATAATGTGCATTGTTATTAAATGGATTGTGGACTGCATAGTAGAACATTTTCATATGAAAAACGTTAAGGTTTGAAAATGTGAAATACACTGTTATCTTAGTTCTAATAGTACAGTATTTTGTATATATTTATTGTAGAATTCTTGTATCAAGTAAATATTGTCGTCGAGTGTACAAAAATTTTTTTAATTTTTTTCGTTTTTTATATATATAAAGTCGACCGGCATAGTCTAGATTTTGCTGCGTACTTTAATTCCGTAGAAGAGTTTTGCATTTCTATAAAGCCAATTAAAAGATTACTTCTAACAAAGAATGTCGATAAAACAGACGGCTTTAGGATCCCCTTAAATTATTAGCTAGTAGTGCCAAAACAGGACGAATAAAAGACGAGTTTTCGCCTGTGTACCGTATCAGTTCAGCCTATTAGATATTTAATATAACATTTCAACATTGCATAACATGCTGAAAAATCCTGATTATTTAAAATACATGCATTGTTATAGTACATTTCTATCGATGTTACGTAACTGTTAAGTGCTGCTGCTAATCTCCAATGTTCTCAATTCGTTGTCCTACACTGCAAAACATATCCACTCTAAATTTCGCGAAATTATAACGGAAAAAAGTGACTCTTTTTCCGCTTTAAGTAAACGTGAAGTTAAAGCGGAATTGCGTATACAGGACATTGTCCTAATAATAATGTCCTGTATAAATAGGAGGGAAATTTAGCAAATTTTTTATTTTTTCCCTAATACATTGTAAAAAAGAATTGTTCACCCGGAAGATAATATTTTGTTAGACCAAACATTAATTTACCGCAGTCACATGCGGCAACTATCACGGTACATTTACCGCGATAGTTATCGCGTCTATCCATTTCCATGTTGCTCCGCAAAAATTTGTGACAAAAATATTAAATTTAATATTGAACTGTGTAATCGAGACGAAAACCGCCGAGTAACCGAGGCGACTGAAATAGGTACTCCAACAGATTGAGCGACAACAGAAAATCAGTTGCAATGGTCACGTGACTCCCCGTACAGCACAAAACTTGCAGTTACATTGCAATAACATTGCTACAACATTGCAACATTGCTGTAATGTAGCTGCAACGTAACTGCAAGATTTGTGCTGTATGGGTCGTATCCGCTTTAAATATATGTATATGACCAAATCCTTTACAATATCCTTTACATTACCGGTCTACTTATATAAAGGATTTTATATAATGAATAAAGTGTCATATTAAGAATCCCACCAGTCTCATAAACGTCCGTTTAAATCAAACGGACATATATGAGAAATCCGTTTTAATATTGAATATCCGTTATAAAATATAACGGAAATATAATTGTCCTTTGTACATAAAACGGATATGTTTTGCAGTGTACACACACTTGAAAAGATAATCACACGATGCACGAGACGCGACGGGCAACGCTCGTCGTTTGGAGAACGGAAGACATCATCTCGTCACATATACTTTATATTCAAACGAGCCGAGTCGCCGGCAATATCATTCCGCGTTGAAGCGACGCAAAGTTAGCGGTCTACGTTCGTCATCCTTACCAAATGAGATCTGCGGCACGTGGAATTCGATATCGACGCCCTGGAGCGAGCACGGATGACCCGGGCGACCTCGTTAGCTCCGGAAGATCTATGGGGGATATTGGAATATCCGCACAATGCGCCAACTGATACCTGCCACGGAGACTGTGCGGGATGAATATTTTCTGTTCCGTGGGAGGGGAAAAAAGAGTGCGAGAGAATTCTCTCTTCATTCACGAATGATTTCACGTGAGAATTAATAATATCTCATTGTTAGCCTTAATTGGACATATCAAGGGCCACGGAGAGTTTTTTTTTTAGGGGAAACGTTTTCCATGATGCCTTGCCGAGCAGAACAAGAAGTCGTGATAAAGTTAAAATGAGATCATAATAACTGAAATGTGTCGTAATAAATGAAAGGTGGAAATTAATCAAATTATGAATTTGAAATTTTGAGATGCCGCTTGACATGGTTCACGGTAATTTAAATTTAGATATCTCATACTCGTAATGTGGGACGTAAACGTAGCAATAATAATGGATAGTAATAGATACAAAGTATTCTTTTTTACGAAAATGATATTATGATAAGAATGTGATTTGTACGATAAAGTGCAATCTTGTAAGTGGAAAATAGGATACTAACGTTTCCAAGATATTTTCATGGATTTGTAAATTATAAAATATTCGCAAGATTTTAATCATTTCGCATGCAAATGCGATTTGGCTTCTTTCGGTGAAAGTCACCGAAAAATCAAAATATTGTCGTAAATAAGTCAAATTATGTTAATACCATCTTAATTTTTTAGACGTGATTACTTGTTCATGCCATCTTGACTTTTAAATGATTTTTTTCTTTCACTTGGGTTTCGAGACATTGCAAGTGGCCTGTAAAACAAAGTTTAGTTATTGTTGAATGGAGTAAAGAAGGATCCTTGACTTTTTGAATATCTCTTAGCTTGATTAACGTTGTGAAACCTTAAAAATATTAAACGCTAATTACCCATCTTTGTTTTCTTCTCTACACGGAAAGGATATTTCGTTGAAATCTAGTAAGAGGTACATCATGGAAATCTAATAAGAGTATATCAAGGTTTCATTAATAGAAAGCATTCATTCCACAGAAATAACATTTTAATTTCTTACTATCGGTTTTAAGATTGATCAACTTTTTTTAGTTTTCTCAATAAAAATTCTATTTTAATTTTTCTTCGAAACATTGAAAATCAAACGAAGTTAACTCTTTCATGAATGTCACAGTGTAAGCAATAGGAGATTAATAAAAAAAGGGTGAATTTTTCACCGCTTATAACTTCTGGGAATAACATTTAACCTTTGTTCTTCGGTCACAAAAAATTGCTACTTTTTAAAAATTATTTTACTTTTAATTCAACTGTTTTTTTCTTTAGAAACTCTGTGACCAAAGAACGAAACCACTGACAACTACAATCTTCAGCTCATTCCTCGCGAGTACGACAAATCCCGTGGACAAATTTCATTCCGGGCGAGAGCCGCGTATACGAATTTTGCAGAAAATCACGCGGTAACAATATCTACGGAAGTCGGGGGAGTCGGGGATAATCGATAAAAGCATGCATGCACACGCGAAGGCATGTCAATCCGACGTCGGCGTCGCATAAACTGCGAGCTTTGCGGCCAGGAGAGAGGGATGCAGTATGCCTAAGGGAACTATAAATCCTAGCCCCATCGCCGTCGACGGCTCCCAGTCACGTGCCGCAGAGAGCTGCAGCTCCTGTTCGCCACCCCTTTCTTCTTTTTCCACCCTGCCGTCGCCGATCGTCACCGTGCGCTGCGCTGGCACACGTGCCACGCCGTCGGCTTTTCTTTGGACTTGTTGCGTTGCGGCGACCATCGCACCTGCAATTTATACAACCCACTTCCTATGCCTGCGCCTTCTTTACTGCCATTCTCCTCCGGGTCGATATAGACAAGAATTGCATAACTCTCGATTGGCGCGCGAATATATACGTCTGAGATACGTAGCGCGACTCCTCGTATATTGTCCGACAGGACCAAATAAAAAATTAACCACCCTCTCGGAGAGGATTTCTGATAACAAGACGGAAGGCACTCTTGACTCTTATTTAAACTTATTACGTGTAATAAAAGTGTAAAACAATATTGAGATTAAATCACTACGTAATAAACTCGTATTCTCTTCTCTCGAGATTAAAATATTATCTTTTTAATAACAAATATGATTGTCGCTGTAATATCGATCCTACTGTGCGATAGATCGATGTGTCATTGCATTGGATTCGGAAATCTTTTAATTTTGTGTAATGGTAAAGTAAAGTCTAGGAATTTTTTATGGTTTCCTGTAGATTGCAAACTTTTCCTCTCAATTTCCTGGGAGAAAACAATTTCTTTCATACTCTGTTCCAAACATTACTTACCTAGCCGCGTCTGTAAAATTCTCGTGAATATTGCAAAGTCACTAATATAATAAAATTGGTCGCAACAGCAACTATTTAATTTTACTTAATAATCCAATAGTTCCTTTTTCATGTTTATTCCTTCGGGGCTATTCCAATTTTATGAGGAGCGAGACTATTTTCCATTTGATTATTAATTTAATGATTAATTTCAATATTAATCAAGTGAAATTGTATCTTTATAGACTTACAACAGCAACTATGTAATTTTATTTCATAATCCAATAGTTCCTTTTTAATGTTTATTCCTTCAGGAATATTCCAATCTTATGAGGAGCGAGACTATTTTACATTTTATTGTTAATTATTAATTTAATGATTAATTTCAGTATTAATTAGATGAAAATATCTTTCTAGACGGCCATTATAATTACATATGACACTTGGGAAAACGACTACGTAGAAACGTTTTGATTGTTTAAGGTGCCTTACATATTAATTGCGTTATCTCAGCTAAACACGTATTTCATTTGCGTCGCACTTGTACACGTATCTGTTGCATGCTGTCTTGAGACCATTAATTTATGGCGACTGCGAACGTAGCTGTGCTAACGGTCGAAACATAGTTTGGGTAAGATGTAACGCTGGCACATTTGCAGCACGTAAACCATTACACCCGTTTTGCAACAATAGATCACCGTGACTTTGTTGTTGTTCCATAAGGATAATAATGCTGCACTATTCCAGTTGTAATTTAGGACATAGGAACAACTTACAATTTGCATACTGAGAAAATTGCACGAAAACATAGTCATCGCTCCCCTTCCTCCCTTCGTACTCGATGTTACAATAATAATGTGCGTTGGTCTCGTAGCAAATTTTTAGTTGTAATTGATTGGTAGTAATTATTTAATGCGCCGTTTTAAATTAGATATTCATGAAGTTACATTATTGTTTTATTTCTAACATCACTGGATTGTTTACTTAATATTTGTTCGTTAATGCATGTAACATAATAAGAATAGCGTCCTGCAGCTTTATAAGAAAATGTTTACCTTACTTTCAGAGTGTTAATTAACGGAAGTTTTTTGGAAAGATATTTACAGTTGTTCGCACAATTAAACACTACTTAAAATGATAAAAGTGAAATTGTTGTGATCATTTTTTCGCGTATCTTTATTGAATTCGAAGGGGATTGTTGATTAAATATTTGAAAAGTTAGATATTATATTTTTTGACGGAGAATATTATATAAATTTTCACGATTTTTCGTTTCATCATAAAACAAATTTTTGATATAAAAGCAAATTGAAAGTTAGCTTTTGACGATTTAAAAGTTTCGCAAACAAAAGCACGACAATTATTCCGGAAAATTTGCAGATTGAATGAGCGTACGAGTATATAAAAAATTCTACGAAATAGAAGTTGCGAAATAGAAGAAAATTGAATTAATCTAAAAACATTTCCATCATTTTCCACATCGGGCTTCTCGATTTAATCAGCAGTATGTTATCAAGAGTTTACCTATCAATCACAAATGTCACATAAATTTAATCATCTAGTCTAGATTGCACGAATAAGTTAACAGCCAATGAGCTGATACAAGATGTTAATTAATTTCAAAATCTTTCAAAGTAATCTTAAATACATATAATGTTTGAACGTTTCAATCCGACTTGGTCAATCTCAGTAAAGTTGAAACTATTAGTTTAAATTTTACATATGTATTAGACTTAAATCCTGTTTTATCCGGTTCTCGTTCTAGCACTTTGAGCATTTGGTTTTACTTCATCTTCGGTAAGTTGCTAACCTTGCCAAAACGTCGATAAAACAGCCGGCCTTAGGCTCCCCTTAAGAGGATCCTTCAGCCATCTTTTTTACCGACGCAGTCAAATATAGTTTTTACGCTTGTAGGTTTTTAAAAGAAGAGAAATGATAAATATCACGGTATAAATGATCGAGGTTAGCTAACCTCAATCACGCAAGACTGTCCCTGGTTTTGTCTTTATGCGCACTTTAACCGTGTGGAAGAATTTTGGAATTTTATAAACCCAATTTCAAATTTAGTTAGAACTACGAATTGAAACTCTCAAATATCAATATCTTTTTTATTTGACTTCTGAACTGAGTGTTTTAAGTATGAAAATGTTTTGCTATGCGGTCCGGAACTTATTCTGGTATTATTTTTTACATAAAAGCTGATAAAAAGAATTACAAGCGCAAAAATATTTGACTGTGTCGGTAAAAGAGATGAAGGATCCTCAAATTTTATTCGAGCTAATCACTAGAGAATATAAGAATATTCATAACTTTTTAACGCTCGCAATAAATTCCTCTCCTCTTGAATTTGCAACGTACCTAATTTTATGTCACAACTTGCATAGATTTTTTCCGAAAGTTTCTAAAAGCGCCATTTGCATCGGCAAAGTAATTGAAGGAAGACTATATTTATTCTCTCACGAGGGTGCCAGGATGTTGGTCTCAACGAGAGGCGGCGCGCCTCACGCATGAAATTATTAATACGCTCAGTACTGGGTAATTCGAATTTATGGTAGCGCGCCAATAATGGTGTCGCTGAATTATTACACCGGGGCATAAACGCGAGCGCGATGCCGAAGCGGCGCGGGAAACGTCGAGGCGAGGACAACTTTGACGGTCCAATAAACATTCGGCGATTTATCGCGCGCGCGCTTGCCACTCGTCTCGCCGAGGGGCTGCACGGCCTCCTTATTATTAGCCGGCGCGCTATTGTTTCGAGGGTGTGCGACAGGCAGCTTAACGGCCGCTTTTTACGTGTCGCGGTGTGGAATTAAGCGCAGTCCCCCCAATTTACTCTCCGGCGTACTTTTAGAGAGCGCGCGAGCGCGCGAGCGGTGGCTGTTTTGCGCAGAGCGCGGGAGCTGTAAACAGAGTTTCGCCCTCCGCTGGCATAAATTGCAGTCGCTTTTACGCTCCCGTTACCACGTACGCAATATCTTCTCGTGGCTTGCGAGTCCAAAAACTCATCTCTCCTTTTCTCCCCCTCTCTCTCTCTCTCTCTTCAAAGATTTTTTCAAATAAATAAATCTGGAAACAAATTTTCGTCAGGCGAAACAAAGATCTCAAACTCTGCGTGTGATTCCTTTGGAAACTTAAATTGCAATGACATAGTTCGATACTTGTATGCATATAAAGTTGTATAGATTATTGGCTTCTACTTTAAAAGAAGCAAATTTGTTTATATAAAACCGTATTGGCACTTTATCTTTCGTCGTCTTTAAATAATCAGGGATGCATTAGGGAGTTTGAAACCGAATAATTTTATTTTATAATGTATAAAGTTTTATTGTCAATTTTATATTAATTTTGCAGAGTTTGTATACCGACTTTCTCATAGAAACACTTTAGGTTTGCAGTGAGAAAAATTAAAACCGTGGGTAATGTGAGAAGTTATGTTATATTTTTAAAAATTGACTCTCGCGCCATTTCTTATGATTATTACTAGCAAGTAATTTGGATTTTTTATTTTTACTAGAGATGACCAAACGCGCGCTTCGCGCGCGCAGTTTTGTAATTGAGCATTGTATATTTTTAAGAATTTCTATACATGCAAAGAAGTAATTGTATGCGCAACGTCAATTTAAAATAAAAAGTAATTTATCACTCACTGATACGATTCGCAACCGCAGAGTTGTACATCATGTATGTTAAACTGTAAAAATACAAATATGTATATGTTTAGTATAGTCTAATTGTGTCAAATCGAAATTATTGTACTAAATATATGCTTGATATTATTAAGATAATTATATAAAATACTGAGAAAGTCTTCCTTTTAAATATAAATTCGAAAAATTTTATACATTGGTTTTGTCTCTAATACTTATTCGACTTCTCGTTCGAATCATTTGAATAAATAAGATAAAAACACAGAACAGATGCTTTATTTTGCACAAGTAACAATTAGATAACATAAAAATGTAAGACACTTACCTTACAATTCCTCCGCTGTTGCCCAATGCCTCCTCGGCCTCCTCCTCCTCCTCTCAGATTTCCTTGTTGCACTTACACTCACTCGCGAAAAACATCGATCGCGCGAAATTTCCGGCACTCCCGTACGCGATGTGAAATACCGCGAACACACGAAATATTATTAACTTTTGCGTTATCGG